CTCATCTTCCCTCCACTCCCCCCGCCAACTGCCCATCTCTCTTGTATACCCCCTTCCCTCCCCTCCACCCAGACACCCTGAGTTAGCAGGTCTCTATCTTGTTGCTGCAAAGCCAGGAGGGGGTTGGGAATAGAAATTTACATTATCCACAAGTGATGCTCCTCGCCCGCTGTGTAACTGTCTATTGCATCTCAGCTGAAGTCTTGGCTTGGCTTGGCTATGATGCTCATCATGTGTGAACAGCCTATTGAACCTCCCTTTCACATGAGGGGATGGGCTGTTTGTGCCTAATGGAACAGCTCTCCAACTTTAAACAAAAGGAAATCTTAGAGGGAATTTTCTTTTCTTGTAAAGCCTTGTACTTTCTGGTAGCCAATGCAATTTGAATTATCATGTTTTCTGTGTTGACTATGGTAAGTTGCTAGTATGTTTACAGAATTGCGTTTGTCATAACAAACTTTTGCAAGACAGTTTGAAACCAGTTGCTCACTACTACTATTCTCCTCTGTTGAGGTGAAACCCAGAAATGCTAGAAGTTTTAAGTATTTCTAGCATTTCTGGGTTTTACCTCCACAGAAGAGAATAGTAGCAGTGACCAACTGGTTTCAAACTGTCTTGCTTCTTAGAGTATCTTAGTTTTGTATTCTATTGCACTGCTGTCTGAAACATGTCAAAAACTTTTTTTTGCTAAGTGCAGAAAATTAACACTATTGTCTGTCTGATTGAATTGTCCTTCATAGCTGGCTACATAAGTACTGGACCTTGTATCCTGAGAATCCCTTTTACTCCTAAAAGGCAAGAAGGATTTGCATTTAGGTAGGGCTTTGATGACTTCAGCACTTTCCAAAGCATTTGATAGACACAGAACATAGGAGCAGGAGTATGCCATTCAGTCCATTGACCCTGGTCTGTCTTGCAACTAGATTATATCTGAACTTCCACCTCAACATCAATATCCCAATATCCTTCAGTACCTTTAACATTTTAGAACTCTTATCGATCTTTGTTTTGAACTTAATGAGTGACTGAGCTTCCACGGCTCTTTAGGGTAAAGATTCCAATGGTACACCATCCTTTTAAGTGAAGAAGTTCCCCCTAATCCCCTTCCTGCATGGCGTTACTCTTATTCTGAGACTGTATCCCTTGGTTCTTGACCCTGCTCTGTCAGGGGGAAACGTCCTTCCTGCAAACACCCTCTCGAGTTCTATCAATTTTGTATCCTTCAATGTAACAAAGTGTTTTTGGAGTGTAGTCACTGTTGCCAGATAGGAAGTGCAGCAGATAATTTGTGCACAGCAAGCTTCTTATAAACGTAAACTGTAGCCAATACAGTGTGGAGCTGGAGGAACACATCAGTCCTGATGAAGGGTGTAAATCCAAAAGGTCAACTTTCCTGCTCCTCTGATGCTGCCTGGCCTGCTGTGTTCATCCAGCTCCACACCGTAATGACTCTGCCTCCAACATCTGCAGTTCTTGCTATCTCTGAAATGTAAACTGTACCTTGTCAGTTTCTCATGATTTTTAAAAAAATCTGATCATAGGATGTGGGAATTTCAGGCTGGCCCAGAATTTATTGCACAGAGGGCAGTTAAGAGTCAACCACATTGCCGTGGCTCTGGTGTCATATGTAGGCCAGACTAGGTAAGCTTGGCAGATTTCCTTCCCTGAAAGGTATTATTGTACCTGATGGTTTTTAGCAACAAATTCATGATTACAATTAGCCCAGCTTTTAATTATTTATCAAATTTATATTTTAACATCTGCTATGTTGGTATTTGTACCCATGTCCCCAGAGCATTGGCCAGGGTTCTTGATTAACAGAACAGTGAGATTACCACTGTGCCACTGCCTCGCCTATGTTGATTTGATGAAAAATAATTGACAAGCACAGCTGAAGAAGGATTTGTACAAAGTGGTGCTATGGAACCTTGCATTCGTATCTGAGAGGCACTTAATTAATTGACTCAGTTCAAAAGACAGCATCTCCGATAATGCAGCACTCCCTCTGTACTATACCCCGAGTGTAAGGTATGTGATGTCCCCTAGTCTCTGGAGCTTATCACAGTTTTATGGCACAGAAGGAGGCCATTTGGCCCATCGTTCCTTAACTAGCTGTTCAAATGAGCACTGTTACCTAGTGCCAGAATCTTGCTTTTTGCCTTCACCTTAACCTTCACACATTTTTATCTACGTAATCATCCAATGCCCTCTTGAATGTCTCAAGTGAACCTGCCTCCACTACACTTCCAGGCAGTGCATTCCATACCCTAACCAATCATGGAGTGAAAATTTTTTTCTTGTATTACCCCATGTCCTTTGCAAGTCACTTCCAAGCCGTGTCCTTTGTTCATTTTGCAAACGGGAACAGTTTCTCCCAAAGTGCCCTATCTAGCCGGTTGTGATCTTGTCAGGTGATATTGTATAATGAATCTATTAGAGGTTTGGAGAAAGAAAAGATTTGCGAATATTAGGAACAATCCAGTCAGCTTTTAGTCAGAATCTGAGTCTTTCCAGACAGTTCTACAGTCTCCCTTCTCTGACCTGTAGTTATCTCAGCTTCACAGAATGTGCCCTATAGTCAGACGTTTAGTTGAGCAATGGACAGTTTGCTGCGACAACAACAGGCTTGATGGGACCTAATGGCCTTTTCCCAGTTATGGGTGAGGTGTTGCTGGATAATCATTAGGGTGAAGAGGAATGTGAGAGGCGACAACCGCCTAGTGTTGTTATTGCTAGACTATTAAACCAGAGACCCGGGTAATGTTCTGGGGGCCTGGGTTTGAATACCATTATGGTAGATAGTGGAATTTGAATTCAAATAAATTTGGAATTATGAGTCTGATTCTAAAACTAGTACCAATTGTTCACGATCATTTTGTAGGGAAGAAACTATTGTCGTTACCTGGTCTGGCCTGCATGTGACTCCAGTCCCACAAAATGTGGTTGACTCTTATCTACTCTCTGGACTGTTAGAGGTGGTCAATAAATGCTGATCTAGCCAGTGATGCCCACGTCCTGTGAATGACTTTTTTAAAACAAAAATTATTAATTGCCATTCTTAATTACCTCACCTGCGGTGAGAAAATAACTGTTTTATTGTGGAGGTTGAGAGCCAAATTGCTTCCCATCTCTGTACAGGACTCCGTTTGTTCGATGAATTGTCACGGCCTGTAACTAATGGGAAAGATAAAGAGCTGATGTTGATGTTTTAAAGGTTTGTAGTCTGGTTTGATTGATTTCCTTGAGCTGTGACTGCTGGCGATAAATTAATGCAGAAGAGAGCTGGTTAACCTGTCCTTAAAATGCTGTTAAGAGCTGGAGTAAGGACCTGGGATTTCTGTAGTAGAAGGTGGGGTGGGGGAAGCGGAGATGCTAGAGTCAGGGGAACTGGGAGTACAGGCGAGGAACATGGCTGGAGGAAGTTAGAGAGCTAATGAGGAAGTTAGAGAGCTGATGAGGAGGTGAGGCAGATTGGAGCTCAGGGCAGAAGGAGGAAGTGAAATTAGGCAATGTTTGACTTTGAGAGGGTATGGCGGACAGCAAATCAGTTCACTTCATGCAAGCAATCGTGGTTCAGGAGGAGGCTTGAATCGGCAGGAAGAATTTGAGAGTGTTAAGGATGCTACTCTCCACAATGAGGTAGGGCAGATGCACGCGTGAGGAGAAACTGGCTGGGGCTGCAGAGGTCTTGCAGGATCAACAGCAGGGCCTCATCATCTTTTTCTTCTATTTCTCACACAACAAGTTGGCTAAGTTGAAACCCTTGCCGGGAAATCCGGCTGTTGATCGCCCACAGGAGCTGTGAAGAGGACTGTAGATTGGGGTGGAGGGCATAATGAAGGTCATCTGCCATATTAGTGACACCTAGAGGGCGTTGGTACTTGGGTAGGGGAAGAGCTCCACTGAAGGGATGCCAAAGACTATCTTGATGGGTCGTGGTGGGATCTGGGGAAGTGCTCCTTTATCCAGTTTGATCCACAAACAGTGCTGTGAAAAGACACTGGAACAAAACCAGAAATTGCTGGAGAAACTCAGCAGGTCTGGCAGAATCAGTGGAAAGAAAACAGAGTTAACATTTCAGGTCCAGTGACCCTTCTTCAGAACTGATGGTAGCTAGGAGAAGGAGTTATTTATGCTAAAGACGGGGTGGTGGTGGGGTCGGGAAATGCTGCTGATAAGTGAGAGGAGATGGAGCCTATTTCAGTTAGAGAGACAAAGGGATGGGTAATAGTATACTCAAGAGAAAGAAAAGCTGATAATGGAGACCGTAAATAGGTGAAAATGGGCACTGTGGCCTAGCTCTCCACTTGGGACACTCTCACTTTTTTTGGCAACCAATGCTGTGTTAATGGTAACTTGGGTTTGTGTTCCTACTGTTTAAATCTTTAATCACTACCATCCCCCAGCCCTCTTTGACCTAGACACAGCTGGGTATCCTCAGCTTAGCAAGTAATAGCTAACCATATCCGGCAGGTGCTATTCCCAAGGTGCTACACGTGAATCATCAAGAAGAAAGTATTGAGGCTGGGTTGTTGAATGGGACAGAGGTGGGGAAAGCAGACTTTCCTAAAGGTTCTTTGGTTCTATTCCCACCTTGTCCAATGGTAGCCAATGGGCAGTAATGCAGAAGGATGGTGCCAAAGAGGGAAAATATCCTTGTCACGTTGCTAGAAAAGTATTGTGGACTTTGTAGACAGGTGTTGCAGCTATGCTTGCATAAAGAGTAGGGGCTTGTGTTTCAGGTTTCTTCCATCTCCCCTGGACCTGTAAATACCAAAAGCTCTGATTCCATGTTTGCACCTTTTAGCAGACAGTCAATAAAAGGGCTGTGTTGCAGTTTATACTTAGGAAATGTATTAGTGATGAAGTGGGAGACCAGCTTCTGAAAATGGGCCTTTCTGTTGTTCCTGTTCTTTATGCAGAGTTGCAGCACTTGATTGGCTTTTCATTACGTAATGCCCCATTAAATATTGATGCTCAGGGATTATGAGTGCCAGCCTTTTTCACTGCAACTTGCTTCTGAATCTGCGTGTGAGAGCTTGTTCACTGCTGCACTCTAAATCAATGAGGTCACCTCTCCAAGTCCCAGAGGATGCATTGTTTTTATTCCTCCCTCCTCAGCAGTGCCGATGCCTGTGTCCTGCACAGCAGCTGAACAGGACTGGGCTGGGATGTGGGAAGAGAACCCGTAGTGCTTGAAGTGCCACTGCCTGTCACAACTCAAAGGTAACTGAGTGGAGCAGCTTAGTGGATGACTTGACGACAATATAGGGGTAGCAAGAATAAGGGAGTGAATTAAAATCATTGGGGATGCAAGGTGCAATACTAACAATGAAGGGTGTTACAGTACAATAAGCAAAGAAGTAATTAAAGTCTGAACAGGAGACACTGTGAGGAGACTGATGGACTGTCAGAAATCATTTCAACTACACCAACTGAGATTGCTTTTCTTATACTGTTGACAATTATGATATTATTGTTTAGAAGTTGTCAGCTATGGCTCAGTGGGTTGCACCCTTAGCTCTTGAGCCAGAAAGTTGTGTGTTAGAGTCGTGCTCCAGATAATAGAACACAACATCCTGGTGTCACTCTAGGACAGTCCTGCCCTGTTGGAGCTTCCATCTTTTGGATTTGACAGTAAACTGGGCCTCAAAGAGGATACAATGAATCTACATTGGGATACAGACAGGTTAGGTGAGTGGCCAAAAACTTGGCGGATGGGCTCCAGTGTGGGAAAATGTGAAGGAATCCACTTTGGGTAGGCAGAATATATGAACTGAATATTATTTAAATAGAGAAAGAGTGCAGAAAGCACTGGCACAGACCGATTTGGGGGTCCACGTCATGAGCCATAAAAAGCTAGTGTACATGTAATAGGGAAAGCAAATGGAAAGTTGGCCTTTCTTTCAAAGGAAATGAAGTTTTAAAAGAAAATGTGGAACTATACAAGGCACTAGTCTTGCCACGCCTGAAATACTGTGAATACTTTCGGTCCCCTTATCCATGGAAAGATGTATTGGCTTCGGAGGCAATCCAGAGCAGATTCACTAGTTTGATCCCGGGTATGGAGGAATCCGCTTCTGAGGGGAGATTGAGTAGGTTGGGCCTGTACTCATTGGAGTTTAGAAGACTGAGAAGTGACCTTACTGAAACATGTAAGATTCTTAATGGGTTCTACAGGATGGATATGGAGAGGTAGTTTGCCTTTGTGGGAGAGTGTAGGACAAGAAGGTGTAATCTCAGAGTAGGACAGCAGTGGAGATGAGTTTTTTCGCTCATCGGGTAATGAACCTGTGGAATCCTTTACTGCCGAGAGCTGTCAAGACTGCCTATTTCAAGGCCATATTGAAGGCTGAGATGGACAGATTTTTAATCAGTAAGGGAGTCAAGAATCATGGGGAAAAGACAGGAATTCTTCACTCACTTAACTTGTTATAGATTCCATGGAATTGTTAGAAAAAGTGCAGGGGATGGTCCCTGCAATTTATCCAATATTTAATCCTTAACCAATAGCTAAGCTACTCTATTATTTGTCAGTCATAGCCGCCCAAGCTTTCTCATAATTGAGAGGTCAAATACGGTATCTGTTTAGTTAGAATTAAGGAACAATAGAACAATGGTAGCACTATTGGCTATATTTAGTTGGCCACCAAATAGTGTAATAGAGATGGAATAAATTTGCAGATTATGGAAATTTTCAAATGCCACAGAAAAGTGATAATATCGACTTTAATTATCCTAATATGGACTCGTCGCAACAGTGTGAAGGGCAGAGAGGGGAAGGAATTCATGAAATGTGTACCAGAGAACTTTATCAGTGTATATGAGGAAGGAAGCCACGCTGAAAGTAGTTCTAGAGAATGAAGTAAAGTTTATTTCAGTGTGAAATCATTTGGGGGGTAGTGATCATAATATCAGCTATGGAACCGTTATGGGAAAGATAAAGGAACAATCAAGCATGAAATAACAACTGAAGGAGGCTGACTTCATTGAGTTGTAAAGGGATTTGGCTCAGTTGGATCCAAGTCAAAACTGGATTGGCAAAATAGCAATTGAACAAAGGGAGTTCTTCAAAGAAGAGATACTTCAGAGTAGGCTAATTCCTCTGAGTAGGTAGGGAAGGGCATTCAAAAATAGCCTCTAGTGTACTGAAGTTGTGGACATTAGAATGAAACACAAAAAGGATGCATCTAACAAAGGTAATGTTTTGTGCTACCAAGCTGAATACAGGAGGTACACGAGATTTATCAATAGTAATCCAAAGGTCAAAGAGAAAGTATAAGAATAGATTAACTGTCAAAAGAAAAGGAACCCAAATTCTTTTATAAACACACATTGTTCAAAAATAGTCAAAGGAAAAATGCAGATGACCAGTGCCTTTTAAAATAGAGAATCTTATGGATGCTGAGTTACTAAATATCTTGTATCTGTCTCCATTGATACCAATGTCCAAGAAGGAGATATCACCAGTATTGAATGGGTGAGAAGGTACATCAAAGTCCTCATGTTTGAAAATTCAGTACATATGGAATGCATCCTAGGTTATTGAGGTAAGTGGGGAGTTGAATTGTGATGGCTTTGGTTGCACTTTCCAAACCTTGTCAGTCATGGGAGTGGTTCCAAAGGACTGAATGATTGCAAATGCTACATCACTAATTTTTAAAATTGAATACTGAAATTACGGGCTAATGGCCCCAACAATGGTGGGGAATCCTTTGGAGGCAATAATCCAAGTCAAAACGAATTGGTACTTGGCAGAGTAGGGGTCAGTTGAAACATAGAAAATGATAGCAGGAGTAGGCTGAGACTGTGGCCTCTTGTTCTGTCCCTTGTTCTCATTCCTCTATCTCTGTCTCAAATACCTGTTAGCTCTGCATCATGGAACAAAAAACATGTTTGTTACATGTTACAGAGATAGTAGGAACTGCCGATGCCGGAGAATCTGAGATAACGAGGTGTAGAACTGGATGAACACAGCACGCCGAGCAGGAAAGCTGACGTTTCGGGTCGGGACCCGAAACGTCAGCTTTCCTGCTCCTCTGATGCTGCTTGGCCTGCTGTGTTCATCCAGCTCTATACCTTGTTATCTATGTTACATGTTAGCTGTCTTATCTTTTATTTTAATAAATGACCCAAACTCCACTATCTATCTGAGAATTGTGTTAATGTTGTGTGGCTGAGGGGTCATGCTTTCCATGTAAAGATCCTCCCAACTCCAAAAATCCTTGATTATGTTGTCTCTTAGGGTGAAAACAGTATTATCAAGACCAGCAGTGTATTTATTTAGTATCTTCAACCCAATACAATATCCTAAGGCTTTGCAAGAGCACAATCGTAATTTGGAGGCAAGCCATATATGGAGATATTTGACAGGTGACCAGAAGCTGCACCAAATAGACTGTAAGATGGATCAATGATTAAGTGATGAAAGTTTGGCATGTTCAAGAGATCTTGGATAGGGATGGGGGACACTGTGGCTGATACTGATACTGGAGAACATTATGGAAATAAAGAGGATCAAGGATGTGAATTTTAAAAATTGAAGGATTGCTTAATCAGGAGTCAGTTTTGGTCAGTGAGCATAATCAGTGATAGGTGAGCAATCTAATAAAAATTAGGTTGCAGGCAGCTTTGGGTGATCTCAAGTTTACTGAGGGGTAGACAGTGAGGTCAGCTAGGAGTGCATTGGAATAATCAAGACTAGAGGTAACAAAGGCCTGGATCAAGGTTTCAGCAGCAGATGAACTAAGGCAGGGCATTGTAGGGTAATATTACTGACGTGAAAATAGGCCTTGATGATGACATGGATGCATGGTTTGAAGGTCATCGTGGTGTTAGATATACCAAGTTTGTGAACAATCTGGAATGAAGGACATTGGAGACACCTTTACAGCCATTGAAGTCAATGTTGCAAACTAGGGAAAAATGCCAGCCAAGTCATGTAGATATTTTCTAGTCAACCAGTTTAGAGGTGTTGTTATACACCATGGGAGTAGGTGTGATGAGAACCGGGGTCTAGCCAAATTTGCAGAACAAAGTCCTGCAAACAGTGCTGTGGTTATGTCCATCTAATAAATATGTTCTCATGATGTCTGGGACATTGGCATAGGGGTAGGGGAGTTCCCCCAATGTAAAATGGAATCTTTTACATCCATGGTAGATGAAGTATAATGTGAATAAATCTGAGGTTATCCACATTGGTAGCAAAAGCAGGAAGGCGGGTTGTTATCTGAATTGGAATAGTCTGAGAAAAGGAGAGGTGCAATGAGACCTGGGTATCTTTGTATCCTTTGATAGTAAGCGTGCAGGTATAGCAGGCAGTGAAGAAGGCAACTGGTACATTGGCCATTGTAGTGAGAGGATTTGAGTACAAGAGTAGGGATGTTTTGCTACAAACATATAACGCCTTAGTGAGACTACATCTAGAGTATCGCGTGCAGTTTTGGTCTCCATATCTGAGGAAGGATGTTCCGGCTATGGAGGGAATGCAATGAAGGCTAAGCAGATTGATTCCTAAGATGGCAAGACTGACTTGTGAAGAGAGACTGAATTGGTTATGACTATATTCACAGGAATTAAGAAGAATGAGGAAGGAGGGGAATCTTCATAGAGATCTATAAAATTCTGATAGGACTAGGCAGAGTAAATGCAGGAAGGATTTTCCTGATGACCTGTTTTAGGACCAAGGCCATAATCCAGATCCAGACGTCTTGGCCTAAAGGTAAGGATAGGCCATTTAGGACTGAGATGAGGAGAAATTTCTTCACCAGGAGTATGATGAGTCTGTGGAATTCTCTGCCACAGAAAGCACTTGAAGCTAAAACATTAAATGTTTTTGAAGTGTATCCTGAAGATGGTATGTGCGACCCGCGTAATGGAGAGAATGAATGTTTGTATTTGAAGCTACCTTAAACCAATTTCCACTATTCTTTCATGGCATTGGCTCCAGTAAGTAGCATGAAGTAAAAAATGCTCATCAATTTCTGACAGAATGTGAAGGCCTTTCTCAGGATAGGGTTGGGTTACGTGCTGCGTGAGATATGTGGACCGACTCAAGCTGCAAACTTTTCTGTAATAGCAGAGTGACAGATGAATTAACTAATCTAAAGTATTCAACAATGGTTGAGCGGCCTAGGTCATATTCACTGTACATCCTGTTCCCCCTTTCCATCCTCCCTGACCTGGTTCCCCAGCCTAAACTAGCCATCCATGTAATTGATATATGTACATAACCTAAACCGCCTTGATTAGATTCCAGCCTCCCCCTTGCTTCTAGTTAGCTATTAATCTATGTCTAAACCATCTGAATTCTTTGTATTTGTGTATTAGACAAGTGAGAAATTTTTTTTAATGTTGATATTGACCCTGTACCCTGCATGTTTTGAAATTAATGTCTGCTGTGTCTTTACGATGGCAAATACAGAATGAAAGTCATCTGTTTTTCCTTCTCCCCTCAGGGGTTGACCTGTAATGCCTGTAACCAGCTCTTGACGTGGGCAATAATTGAACAATGGGTATGGCAATAGGAAGGACCTTTGTGCTAAACTGTTGAGAAACGACCCATACGCGGCAGCCCAGAAATGTTCTAATTCATTGTAAGCTGTCAATCTGCACTCATTTTCCCAAGACAGGTGTTTGTTGTATGATGCAGGCACAACGCTTTGTCAAGATGGAATTGTGATCTGAAAGCACCTCTATGTACTTCAGTCACTCGACACTATTGAAGCACGTTGATAGATGACAAGATTGCTGAAGTGAAAAGATAGAAGAATTCATCATCAACCCTCAGACCATACCAGCACATCAACGTGCCTTTGCTTTGATAGCACGTGAGAGGCCTCCAGCTGAAGAACAGGCATGAGCCCTTTTATTTGGTGATGACAATATTTTCGTTTTAGTGCCATAATTTTAGATATTTTCAGTTTCTTTTCTCGGCACCTTTTTTTCGTATTGGCTTGCATTTTGTCTGATTATAGATCTTACAAACTGAATAAAGGAACCACTCCCAATCTTTCTTCAACAGTGAGTTTTGCTGCCAAAGTAACAAGCCCTGTTTGCTCTACAGTCTGCTGTCAGATGCAAGGGTTAAGTGGATAATCCATAAGTGATGAAACTGGCCTGTTGTACAAGTTTGCTGGTGAGTTGGAAGAATATGACTCGAGGAACTTTTTGAAGAGAATTGCTGAATTCTTGAGTTGGTTTTGCTTCCCTTTTGATCAAAATATTTTGGACTGATTACTCAATTGCTTGTTGCTCAGCCCTGAGCTGAAGACTGCAGCTAATGGAGGCACTGGAAGCAGATGATATCAGCCCTGCTTTGGAGGCCACGGAGGAGTTCTTTCTTTTCAGTGGCATTGATGACCAGGTAGGACATAATGATCTCCCAAAACAGGAGGTGTTTGGCATCCAAGAGGTCCCAGTGATAGTCGGGCATGATGTCCTCCAGGTGAAGGGTGAGAGATCACACAAAACGGATGGCACCAGAATTACAGCTCAGAAAATGAGCAAATCAGAGTATGCAAAGAAACTAGAATTCAGAAGAAACGCCCCCACCAGCAAACCAGTCGGAGTGGCTAATGGGCCAACACAACAGTGGACCATCGGTGCAGACACAGAGGGCTCCTTCATCTCGAATAGTTACGGAGCAGTTCACTCCAAGATTGGCAGTCTGCCTGAAGAATGGTCACCCAGCTGGCCACTAGCTGTCCGATCGCAATCTGACATTGTTCCATCTCGTTGCAAGTCACAGTCTGGCCCGGTGCCAGCCCACTATCCACTGGATTCGGACATCCCTCCCTCCCGCATCTCTTTCTCATCCTCATTTAGCAAAGGCGGGAACTTTGCAATGGTCAGTCAAAGCCAAGACAGTAAGTACCATCCACTTTGCAGCTACTCTCTCCTTCCTGTTACAGCAGTAAGTGATAGTCAAACTGCAACTCTGATGTCTACTAGAATGTTGGCCCTTATTTCAAGTGGATTAGAATTCAAAAGTTGGAGGTTATGCTCAAATTGGTTCAATGCTCTGGTTGGACTGCTTCTGGAGTACTGGGTTCTGTTTTGACCTCTGCAAGTCAGGAAGACTGTGTTATCATTGGAGGGGGTACAACACAGGTTCGCCAGAATGATACCATGGCTTAAAAAGTTTAAATTATTGAAGAACAGTTGCACTTACCAGATTTCAATTCTGTTTAGCATAGAAGATTAAGCAGAGAGCTCATTGTGAAGATCAAATTCCTTGATAGCATAAATAGAAAGTATTTCGTCTGGTAGAGGAGTCCAGAATAGTGGTGAAGATTAGAGCTGGACCATTCCAGATAACATCAGGAGCACTTCTTCTCTCAAAGATTAGTGAAAATCTGTGACACCCTCCTGGTGGTGGCGGCAGGTATTATTGAAAATCTCAAAGTTAAGGTTAGCTATTAAGGGTTGCTAAGATAAGGTGGGAACATGGGAGTCATGATACCAAGCCAAGTACTAGTTGAACGTGGAAGTGGCCCAATGGGATGAATGATTTCGCATTCTTGTATAGACCCACTTCAAATTAGAGATTAAATAGCAGGGATCCTGTCTGCTGTTCTCCCATGTCCAGCAAGTGAAGAAAACTTATTATGTTACCAAACAGAACCTTGACATTGACATAAAAGTACATAGGCTCACCCTTTGATAACGGCTTTGCAAATTTTTATTGTTGTTTGTTAACTCTGTGCGAAATTTTGCCTTTTTGTTTACATTTTCAGTCTGCTTTCTGTTGGTGCCTTACTGTAAGATATGGTTCCAAATGCAAGACGTTATGTGACCCAGAATAGCGAATAACATCAAAGGCATTGTTCTAATCTTTGTAATACTGGGAAAGGGGGAGGGGAATCATCCTGGGACCCTGCATTTGATTGAAATCCCAGTGATCATTGTTCTGACTTGTATGATGAATAGCCTGGCTGAGGTTTGCAAGGTATCAGGCTACCTGTGTCCAACTTGGATTGGTGCCTTCAGGAGAGAAGGACATGAACTGCTTATCATGGAATTGAATAATAATAGAAGGAATCGTTTAGAATTAGCTAAAGCATTCCAAAAGAAGGTAGTGTTGGATCTCATGGGAGTTTGATATTGAATCCCAGAAGGACAAGTGGATCATCATTTTTAGATAAAAGTGAAACATTGAAATGATGTGAGGTTTGCGGTTTGGAAAATTAGAAGAAATGTGAAAGTGAAGCCTTATCACTGTTTGCTGGGCGTTTCCCTTGGGTGTCAGCTGTGGCTCAGCAATAGGACTCCCATCCCAGAATCAGGAGATTGCAGTTACAAGACTCCAAATGCTTGACAGACTCAGTGCAGTACAGTACTGGAGAGTACTGCATTGTTCGAGGTATTGGCTTTTGGATGAGATATCAAACTGAGTCCGCATCTGGCTGTGCATTTGGGAAGGATTTTGTGCCACTATTTTGAAGAAGTGCAAAACGATCTTCTCCATTGCACTCGACAGGTACTTATCCTTCAGTCAAAATCAGGTGACCTGCCGTTATCTCATTGCTGTTCATGGGATCTCACTCAGTTCACGATGGCTGCTCTGCTTCCTACATTATAGCAGTAACTTAATGGCTGTAGAACACTTTAGGACATCCTGAGATCATGAAAGGCCCAATATAAATGCAAATCTTTTTCTTATATCAAAATCAGTCTCAATTTAAAAAACCTCAGTCGAGTTGATGCCAGGGTTCAGCTCTGCTTACCCTCTGCTGATCTTTGAAAGCTTCTGACATTACTCCATTGTAATTGAAAAAAATTCTGCATCTTGTGGTAAAAAGAAATGGTGTCCAGGTAGGTAGCCTATTTTCCACAGCAGTTTGAAGAATCCATCATCTACTGACAAGCCCGAAGGTTTTGAAGTCTGTGAAAGCATGTAGAGTGGTCAGTGTTCGTGGTAATTCTCTTAAAATAGCCAAAGTGAAAGACTAATTTCATTGTTGGTCTGCTAGTTCTGAAGTCACCTTAGATTTCAAGGTTTTTTTTTGGGGATTGTAAACACTTCTCCGGATTTATTTGTAGACGAAACAGTGTACAAAAGCAAAACAGGTTAGCACAAACCAAAAATGTGTGACTCTGGATTGACTGCTTAAAATCAAAGACTCCAATAACTCTTCTTGGTGAATCTTTGAAAGGATTTCTCCAGGGTTCCCATTTTCTCCCTGGTGCGGAAAAGGCTGTTGAAGTAGTTGCAGGTCAACTGTCCCCTTGCTTCACCAGGACACTGTCTAGTTTAGTCCACCAGAAACAGATCTTTGAGGATCATCTGTTGTGAATTAGCCAGAACATAAACAAAATAGTTTTACCATTTGACAGTAAAAGAAATCCTGAAAAAACAAACTAATAATTACACTTCTCTCAAGTTCCTTAATTTATTTAATGTGACACTTGACATTAAGCAGTGATTACCTGATTCCAAGACACATTATGTCATCTTTAGATATGAGGGTAACTGGGAAACGTACACTTTAATATAGTGCAGAATTCCAAGTCTCCTCATGTGTCTTAATGCCCTTAGGGAAGGTGAAGTGCATTGTTAAGCAGCCTCAACCATGCTCTGCAGTTGCATGTTTAAAGTTGAAGATCATACTTGCTCACCGAGCTGGCTGGTTGTAGTTCAGACATTTAGTCACCATGCTAGGTAACATCATCAGTGTGGTCTCCGATGAAGCGATGTTGTTCTACTCTGCTTAGAATTTAGCCGATCTGGTCTGAGGTGTTTTGTGTCATTCCCGGTTCACTTTTTGCAAAGGTTTGTATATGGGCTCTAATTCCACATGTTTATTGATTGCATTATGGGTGGAAAACCAGGCCTCTAGGAATTCCCGTGCATGTCTGTGATTGGCTTGATGCAGCCATTTTGTTTGGCTGGTTTGTACGCCTGTGGATTGTTGAGTAGAGATTTGTACTTCACACTGTGGGGCAGTACCTGGTTCCTGAGGCATTCGTGGAGAAAGTGAAGTTGTTCACGGGTAGTGCTCAGTCGCTTGATGAAGGTTTCCCATTGTCAGGCTATTTTGAGCATGTTGCACCTGTAGGTGTTTACAGTTCTTGCGAAAATTTGTAGCTCAAGCCAACCATAGACACGCATGGGAATTCCTAGGGGCCTGGTTCTCCACCCATAATGCAATCTATAAACGTGTGGAATTAGACCCCATATACAAACCCATGCAAAAAGAACCGGAAATGACACAAAACACTCCAACAGACTGGATCATATGAATTCTAAGCGGAGTAGAACAACATCACTTCATTGGAGGCTGCACTGATGATGATACCTAGCATGGTGACAAAACTTCTGAATTATAACCAGCCAGCTCGGCGAGCAAATCAACAACTTGACCCACAACCCGAGCTACAAATCTTTGCAAGAATCTTGAAGTTCATACAAAGTTTACCAATTCATTCTCAGTAAGAAGGCTACTTTCATTCAAAGGATAAAGTAGACTTCAGATCATTTAAAATTTCTCACAGGAATTGAAATCCATAACCTAAGCACAAATAAAAGATTGTAAATAGAGAAATACTACATTCAAACCATTATGTGCATGACACACAAAATAACAAAAATGCATAAAAATAACGGAAGTACAGTTCTATAGCAGCAATATATGTCATCAAGGCTGCACTCCAGTGTGAAGTTGTGGATTTACTGCACCAGACAGAAACGTGCAGTAAATCCACAACTTCACACTTGAGTACTGTTTTTTTTTCAAATAAATAAGGTATGTGTTGCCAGTGGTTAGACCCAACATAAAAAGAAACCTTCCCTACAGTTCTTAGCAAGGACGTGCCTTGGCAATTATTACAATCAATGTGATCCCTTTTGTCTTTGTACAAGGTGACTGTATTTGCATCACATACATCTTGGGACATTAATATTTCCTTCTAACTGAAAGACGAGTTTATAGAGATGCTGCAGCAGTTGGTTTCTGCATTTGATAACTTCAAGTGGGATGCCCTTGTTTCCTAGCAAATAGGGAAACGGCAGTGTTTGAGTTCTAATGCTGTGGGTTCGCTGTTCAGCTTCTCCATGTCAGGAAAGTCCACAACAGCACTATGAATGTCCTCTATTGCTCCAACCTCCTTTCCAACTGCTTGCTAGGTTCAGTAATGATCAGGGATCTCTGTCTTCCTCTTTAAGGAGTTGAAACTCTGGTTGAACTCTTGGTTGAAACTCTGTGACAGCAAACAGTCTTAATTGGCCCTGTGATTAGCTGTCTGCCGAGACTGGTCAGCTGTGGTAGAGTAGAGCATCAAGAACTTGCTTGTAGTTCATGAGGCCTCTCTGTTTTAGTTGCGGTAATTGGTCCATTTCAGACAAATAAGCCTGAAACCAATCAGCACTCACCTGATTTCTTTGCTCAGTGAGGATAGAGTTATTTATGGTGTTGTGCGGATGTTACTACTCTGACATCACTCTGGCCTTGGATGGTGATGTCCAATCGAGGAAGTTGAACAACTCCTGGATCCTTTCTGGACACAGAGAGCATTGATCTGAGGATAATCTTTCTTCTTGAAGTGGTACAGTTTACTTGGTTGAACCCTAACCTTGCTACATACTGGGGAGTGTTCGGTAACATAGTCAGCGCTGTGATAGTTACGAGTCATGAGGGCAGTACTGAAGGTGGTATGTTTGGTGATGATGAGATCTAACTGGTGTTGGTGGTGTGCTGTAGGCTGTCTCAAGGACGCCATGACAGCTTGGTTTGGAAGTAGCTGTTTGTCACACACATGCTGTGGCAACAGCAGAGCTCCAACAAGCTTTTTTCATTTATATTTGTCTTGCAAGTACCTTGGTTCATAATACACGTTGGTCAAGCTGTGAAATCGGTAACCACCCTTG